ACAGTCATTCATGCCTCCAGCGGTTTTTACAACTGCATAAAAGGAAACATAGACAAAATTTATTGGGTGCATTCAGGGAAATATGCCAGGATGCAAAGTAAGCAAACCTTGTTGCTACTTTACATTACAGTGGTACCTCGGGTTACAGACGCTTCAGGTTACAGACGCTTCAGATTACAGACTCTGCTAATCCAGAAATAGTTCCGCGGGTTAAGAACTTTGCTTCAGGATGAGAACAGAAAGCGGGAGGCCCCATTAGCTAAAGTGGTACCTCAGGTTAAGAATGGTTTCAGGTTAAGAACAGACCTCCAGAACGAATTAAGTTCTTAACCCGAGGTACCACTGTACAACTGACATTATTTATTTCTGGGACTTAATGACCCACCAGGTTTAGTCCCAGAACCTGTTTTCACTGCTTGGGCTCAGCTGTAGGACATACGAAGAAAGAACAATATAAATAGAAAATGCCCCTGAACATGCGCAGATGGTTTCCCCTCTGATATTAGGAGGAAGGGCTTCTAGGTCAGACAGTGTAGGTTTGAGCCCTGCCAACCTTCTCTCTGCAGGGTCTGCATACCATTATCCACAGCAATCCAAATCAGCCCTTCCAAATATAGGATTGAAGACATATAGGACTTTGTCCTGGGGCTTTGCACGTACCCAGACCCCGAACGGGACAGAGCTATGTGCCAGTTTCTTCCAAGTAGACAAGGACAAAAAATGTTGGGGGAAACGGGGAGCATGATGCCAAGGGAGGATCCGGAAAGAACATTGGTGTTGATTTCAAGTCTAGACAGAATACCCAGTGTTATTAGAGGGATAATTAAATCCATCTCACAGGGCAAGAGGGGACAGGACCGGTAGACGGCTCTTTCACTCCAAGTACTTCCGTTGGTTTATTATTTTATTCCCCCGTCTGCCACATTGTCTTTGAAGTTCAAAAATTACTCTTGTTTCCTAGCCAGGTCTACCCTTTTCTCTTAAGCCAATATCACTTTATTTTCGCCCTGGTATTTTGAAAGGACTTGAAACGTGGCTCTTAATAGAAATGTTGTTTGTGTCAGGCTGGCATAATGCAAGCCTGGTAATAAAGGTTGACATCTCCTCTACAGCTAGCAGGAGGAGGGCAACACTTTGCAGTACAAATGTTAGGAAATCGTGGCAACACATTCATGTACTACCTGTGATAGTTGGTTGAGTGGCGAAGGGAGCCATCATGATGGAGAACTGTCATCATCTTTGGGCCACACTCACTTTTTTCTGTTCAACTCAGGTCTCCGGTCAAACAGGGTTTTTGTAGCATTTTAAGCACTTCTGAGCTTCCAGATACTTTTCCCTGCAATGGAAGTTGTCATTCTGGCTACTACTTTTCCAATTTTGATTTACACCCGCACAATACCTCTTCTACTAAAGAATGGCTAGCAGGGATGGGTCCTTTTTCATTGCTGTTCTGTAAGGAGAGAGGCACTCAGTCCTACATGGCACAATTGGGGAGACACACCTGGCAGCCTGTTCCCCCTGAAAAATACCATTGCTTTACATTTGTGCCTGCTGTTAGAGCAAGGTGGTGCCTGCGCTCTGCCCATTTCAGTGATCAAAGTCCAGAGGCAGTGGCAGCTCAGGAGTGCCGCTGCGCATTTGTGGATGTGTTGCAGTTGCTCACAGTTAAATCTTTCCCTGTACCCCTGTCCTCTTTGCTATTAGCTTGAAATACCTTCCGCATGTAACACGTTTAAGAGTGTGTGTGTGTCTTTGGATATTTCACAGTACACTCTTTCTCATGCTTGGCTGTCGGGGGCTGGACTGAGGAGGAATGGTGGAGGCCTCCCCTCCCCCCTTCTCCTGAACCTTCCCGAGAACAGTACAGATTTAGAACGGTGGTTTGCAGAGACTGCATAAGGGAAAAGCTGGGGAAAACAGTGGATGCTCGGGTTGCGAACGTGATCCATGCGGGATGCACGCTCGCAACCCGCAGCGTTCACAACCTGCGTCTGCGTGTCTGCGCACGTGCAGGTTGCGATTCGGCGCTTCTGCGCATGTGCAAAGCGCGATTTAGCACTTCTGCACATGCGTGACCGCCGAAACCCGGAAGTAACCCGTTCCGGTACTTCCGGGTTTCGGCGGTCTGCAACCCGAAAAGACGCAACCTGAAGCAGCTGTAACCCAAGGTATGACTGTATTGGAAGAGGAACAGCAGGAAGAAGAAACACTGGGGGAGAGACAGCTGACAGACTCAATGTCTTTGGAGAGCATTCCTGAGCCCCCCTCTCCCAAGGCTAGGCATGCATTAAGAGTAGTAGTACAGAAAGCTCAGAGACAGAAATCCCAGATCTTTTTTTTTTAATAAAATTTTTATTAAGATTTTTACATTACAAAATAGAAAAAGAAAAAAGAAAAAGTAAAAAATAAAAATAGTTAAAAACAATCAATCTTTTCATCACATTATTTTTCATTTACTTGTTTCTCGGACCTCCTCGGACCTCCCTTTTTTGTATTTCAATTCAATTTATTAGCTCAGCAATTTCTTTCCCTCTTTATTCTACCCTGATCTTTAATCTTACGTTATTATAACCTTGAATTTTTACTGATAAAAAACCATTTTTTCATATTCTTTTATACCATTACAGCTAGAAACCACTTAATTTCAATCCAACATCCATTAATTTTACAATGCCTCTGTAGATAGTCTTTAAATTTCTTCCAGTCTTCTTCCACTGACTCTTCTCCCTGGTCTCAGATCCTGCCAGTCATTTCCGCCAATTCCATGTAATCCACCACCTTCATCTGCCATTCTTCCAGAGTGGGTCAGAAATCCCAGATCAGCCGGCATAGGAATGACGTAGGATAAGAGAGACGGAGGGGGTGGGGCTTTACTTGGAGCAATGCCATTGTTGGATAAGGACTACCTTCCTTTGTCTCTCTCTGTGAATACTGAATAAATTACGTGGTAAGAACTCTTTGTGTTTATCTGCTTCTTTGGATGCCACCAGGGGAGGGATAGGATTCCCTGAACCTGGACATTAGAAGACTTGGCAGCAAACTTGAAATTCAGAAGCAGATTTTAATCTTTGCTTTACCCTTTGGCCATTTGCTTCTTCTTGCTAACTCATAGGACATCTTGACCGCACTGTAACCGTGCAGCTCGCTACCTATGACCAACAGTATCCCAAGCCTGTGAGTAATGGGTCTCCTTCTCGCACCAAGGAGTAGCTTGGGGAGTATCTTTGCTTCCTCTGAATTCAAGGCGTCTATCACATGAAGACTGGTAGAATAGCCCTTCACTGGGGATAGTGTAAAAACAGGCTACACTTCCAGTATCATCAATAGTAAATTACCCCTTAGATATACCTGGAGGAGTTTTCTGCCAGCGCAAACACAGAGTGAGAGAGCCAAGAATAAAACCCAGGCACCCCGATGAACAGCCCTGCCCAGTAAATCAAGGTTCCTCCAAATTGCCCCTTTCTGAGTCTCCAGAAATGTTTATTTCATTCTATTTTGAAGACTGGCTTACACTGGCTAGTGTTTAAACAACATTAGCAGCCGAGGTTTTATAGCAGTGTTTAGATTCAAATAGTTCTGCTAATATGTTTCTTATTCCCAGTTTAGCCCAGGGCTCTGCATTCCCTAAGAAAGAGGCACTTGTCACCAAAAATAAATTGCATGCCTGCAATATTCAGAACGATTCTTGGTAAATCCACTAAATGAGATGATCCATTTGCCAAATAGTTGCGGTTTGAAATTATTTTCAGCCAACTATGTGATTATCTTCTCTATGACCTCTTTTGAACTAAAGGGGTTCCAAGGATTTCTCCAAATGTTACCCTAGCGCACAAATGATACATGAGCTTAATTTTAGCCACCAGAAGAATGCTGCACCTATAGCTCAGGACTGTACAACTTTTTAAAAACACGTCAAGTGAATCTGAAATAGGGTCTTTGCAAGATCAGGCATGGTCAAAGGAAGTCTTAGAGTACTTGTGAATTCATCCTTAAAATCTCTCTCCAGAAATACTGCTTCTTGGTGACCTGTTTACTGAGCGTTCATCCTGATTTGTTTTCACAAAGTTAGCCAAGAGGTATTAGGATGTTGGCCATTTATTCAGCACTCATTCCGATATGCTTGCAGGGAGGTTATATGACATTGCCTCAAGCAGTTGTTCGGTCCCATTCGCATTTAGCAGATTTTCCTATCAGTCGCCCTTCTGTGCCCTGTATCTGGATGAGAACAAAGACCTATCGAGTCCAGCGTCCTGTTTTTTTAATCATGGCTAGTCAGGTGTCTGTATGCTCTCGCATGACACATGACCAGTGGTCCACCTGGTTCAGTATTTACTCTGACGCAACAGCTTCTCCATGGCTGCAGCCATCTATGAAGGAATGAAGTGGGAACACTCAGGTACAAGTATGGGATACCTTACTAATCCATAGTTTATGGCTTTAGGTTTTTTATGAATGTGGAGACCCACAATCAGGACATGAGGGCAGGAGTCCTCTTAACGTTACAGGTGGCAACCATTTTGCGCCCTTTCAACTGATGTGCAACTGCTGGCGGATGGTTTGTTTTGGACCCAGAAGAGGGTGGAATGAGGCATAATGGGGCAAAGTGGGCTTATGCATGCTCCGTTGGTGCACAAATGCCCACAACACACAACCCCCATGCAAATTGGGAGTTGCCTGTACTTGATCCTTCCTTCCCATGAGATACCTCCTTTCCGCTCCTTGCTGGGAAACAAATTGTGCAACGATCCAAATATACCGAGAGGTGGGTGCAGATTAAGCTGGTGCATGCAAACTTACATTGATGATTTGTTTTGCTTGAATAGCGTAGACTATAGTGGGGCAAAATAAATTGCAGTTCCCTGAAAGACGGTCGCTTCATAACTTCCCTGAATATGGTATTGTCTGCTGCAGATGGGAGCTTTTGCCCATAACACTTTAGCACTTCTTCTGCATTGGTTTAGTTTCTCTCTCAGCTGTTTTGTTTCCTTTGTGTTTTGCAGGTTGCATATGGAACCACAGAGAATAGTCCTGTCACCTTCATGGGGTTCCCTCAAGACAACATTGCCCAGAAAACAGAGACTGTGGGATGTATTTTCCCACATACAGAGGTGACTGATTCTCTTTGTTGGTGTAAACTGGGGGAAATGGGTGAAATTGTACTAAGTGCTTGGCCCGTGTCTTGAGCAGTCCATCCCCCATACCTGAATTCTGTTCAGAATTCTGTTTATTTCCTGGGGTAAAATCCTAAGAAAAGCTCAGCAACTTCAATCCTAAAAAAAGGTTAACAACTTTGGTCGGCCCTTTGGTCGGCCCTCGCGGCCCTTCACTTCATCAAATCTGGCCCTCTTTGAAAAAAGTTTGGACACCACTGGAGCATGACCCATCCTCCCTTTCTTTAAGGAATGTGTGTAAGTGCAGAGGCAGGTACAAAGCCAAGGCTGCATTCAGCAGCATTGGCAGGAGTGTGAGATATTCACTAAGAGGTTTTTCTCAGTGCAAGATCATAGTGGAGAAGCTGACGGTTACATGTTCAGTATAGCATGAAGATCTAGCAAGGTAAAGTGCTAGTGGATCTCTCTGTGTATTCGTATGTTTACAAGGCTTACTTCTAAGACCAGAGGAACTGTATTATGGTAGATTAGTTCATGATGGACCAGCACCTCTTAAAGTTTATGTAGCTAGTGTGTTTATGCTAGTCTTGTCTCATGAGGCAACAAGCACTCTAAGCTGAACCAAGTGGGAAAGGAGTTGTCTTAACTGGGAACTCTGGAAAAGAATGACTACAGTGGTACCTCGGGTTACATACGCTTCAGGTTACATACGCTTCAGGTTACAGACTCCGCTAACCCAGAAATAGTGCTTCAGGTTAAGAACTTTGCTTCAGGATGAGAACACAAATCGTGCTCCGGCGGCGCAGTGGCAGAAGGAGGCCCCATTAGCTAAAGTGGTGCTTCAGGTTAAGAACAGTTTAAGGTTGAGGACGGACCTCCGGAATGAATTAAGTACTTAACCTGAGGTACCACTGTACTGGAAAGAAGGAAGACTCTGATGTTCTGCTGAAAGACTCTGTTAATCACAGCACTTTTGCTGTATCTTCTGTTGTCACACCCTCACAGTCTCTAACCTGAACATGCTTCTGTTCAACTGATCTCTTTTATTATGCCACTCCATGCCACCATTAATGTTTCTGTTTCCTCTGTATTAACAGGCAAAAATTGAGGATCCTGAGACAGGGGAAATTATCCCACTCAACAGCCCAGGAGAACTTCAGGTCCGAGGTTACTGCGTCATGCTAGGGTACTGGGCAGACCCCAACAAAACCAATGAAGTGATGGATGATGAGAAATGGTACAAGACCGGGTACGTTGGGGAAGAAGCCATTTGTTCATTAGGATAATCCTTGGGAAGCCAATAGGATCTAGTAGGTGGAAGGCTGGATGGAGAATCCATTCAGGGCCATAAGCTGCCTTTTAGCAAGTCAGTATCTCATCATGTCAGTCACCCTAACTGGGCAAATGAGGATAAAAATGACCTATTGCATAAAATTTGTACAGGGCTGAATTTGAGATAATGGGGTTGGGCAGCTTCACCTGATGGGGAATGGCAGACAAGCAACATGTCCACCCCTAGGCTTAAGTCTTACTCAACACTCAATAGCAAACTTGTTTCATACACAGGCATGGAGTTGTAGGGGAGCCACTCTCCCATGGTGCCATCCCCTTGTGACTCTTTCCCACCAGATCACCGCCCTCCTCAATGGTGGGATGGTGATCTGTTGGGAAAAACCCATACAATCAATGACACATAGCTGCATTATCCATTAATCTGCTGCTGCTCCCATGTGGGATAGATAGCTCCATGGAGAGGGAGCTGCCTCAAATTTCCGGGTGTGCATGAAGGGAGCCTTTGTTCCCTGGCATATGATATCTCACTACGTCATGTCTTGCCACATTGCAGAATCTAGTATTTGGTTATGCAGAATTCACAGAGTACTGCTTGTGATCTCTTGCTTATGCAAGTACAGAGGACTAGCTGCTAAAAAAACAAGCTGAAAAGGGAACATTTGGGCTGAAACTCAACATTGCTCTAAGCTGACTGTTCCATCAGCGCAAGCATTTGTGTTTGTCACACGGAACAATCCGGGGGTACTCCCGACCTGCCAAAACCATTTTGGAGGAGTTGTGTGGGGAGGAGATGGGCAGAAAGTCCCATTGTACTAGTGGGATTTTGTGCTGGTTCCTGCTTGCCCAACTCTTTAATTGAATCTGGTCTTGGGCACCTAAGCATTTATCATATCAGGCATCCCCAAACTCGGCCCTTCAGATGTTTTTTGGGACTACAACTCCCATCATCCCTAGCTAACAGGACCAGTGGTCAGGGATGATGGGAATTGTAGTCCCAAAACACCTGGAGGGCCGAGTCTGGGGATGCCTGTATCATATGTATGGTGCAACAACAGCTTTTGGAACAGTTGTGTACAGTTCTGGTCTCCTCACCTTGAAAATGATATTTTAGAGTTGGAAAAGGTTCGGAAGAGGGAATCAAAACAAAACAAAAAATGATCAAAGGGATGGAACAACTCCCCTATGGGGAAAGGTTACAGCATTTAGGGCCTTTTAGTTCAGAGAAAAAGCGAGCAAGAGGAGATATGATCAAAGCGTGTAAAATTACATAGGACACGAGAGCCTGGTGTTGGACTAGGTGTGTCCCTGGCCTTCTCCAGCAGGCTCTTCTTCAGTTCTCCAGTGGAGCGTCCAGCAACATGGCAAGGTCAGGGTAGAATGACTGTGATATCCTTCCAGGGACATGGCTATTCTTGATGAGTACGGCTACTGCAAGATAGTAGGCCGCTGCAAAGACATGATCATCCGAGGAGGAGAGAACATATACCCAGCAGAGCTCGAGCAATTCCTACATACCCATCCTAAGATTCAAGAGGTGCAGGTGAGAAAAATGGTGAGGTGGGACATGGGAACAGGCCCTCTAACCCTCTTGTTTGGCTATGTGCTGGACCCAGGGATAACCCATGAACCGTGGTCCAGGACCGGTCCAGAATCCGAAGGTTCCACTGGGAGTCAGTCCGACAGGGCCAAGGCAGGACACAAGGCAGGGAACCAGGCAAGGACAGGGGCAGGATCTAGCATACAGCAAAGTGGCTCCCACAACCTGGGGCGGGGTCCGACAGCCTTTTATCATTGTTGGGGTAGCAGCCGGTCCTGATCCCCCGGCGACTCAACTCCCTGTTTTGCCTGAAGGCGAGCACTCCTCCTGCAAGTACTCAGGTCTCTCCTTCTTAGTCTCTGCAGCTCGGGAGATGTTGGTGGGTTACTAGACCCAGGGCCGCCTCAGTCTCCCCTGACCAAACCGGTAGTGGAGCAGCTGTAAGTGATTGCCCAGCAGAGGGCAACGAGGTAATCCCCGCAGGGCAGGGCAGGCTCAGGCCCCTGACTTGGCTCTGTTTGTTGCAGGGGAACCTGTGCAGACTGGGACTCTTCAGGATCAGGCCCCAGACTTGGTTTAGATAATGCCTGAGGCAAAGGATCCGGTGCAGACTGAGTCTCCTCTGGTTCTGAGTCCGAGCCTGAGTCCCAGGCCATCACAGGCTAAATACTTAAGGCTGAATGTGCGACAAGATGCCATGTGGCTCCAGCGCCATTTAGGGAAATGAGCTCGCTTCTGGGTTTCCCACAGGCACCTGGCTGGCCAATGTTTGAGAACAGGACGCTGAACTAGATGGGTTGTTGGCCTGATCCAGCAGGGTCAAGAACCCCAATAAGTTGGGTGGGCCCGATGATCAACTTTCCCCTTCTCTTCCACTCAGGTAGTCATAGGCGCCGACTCCATGGGGCTTGAGGGGGCCCGAGCCCCCTCAAAAATTTGTTTGGGGGGGCTCCGCCCCCCCAATAATCTCCGGCGCCCCTCCAGCAGAGCGCCGGAGATTATTGAAGGCTTGTAAACCCTTCAATAGAGTCCCGAAACCCCTCAATGAAACATCAGGATTTCTCAAAGAACCATCGCTGACCAATGGGCATCGTCCAAGGTGAGAGGCAGCCAATCCGAAGTCAGGAAGCAGCAGCCCCGTGTCTGGAGCGCGCGATCCGCCAGGAGAGCGCAAGAAACCGAGAGCAGAAAGCGGGGAAGAAGCGCGCTACAAAATGTAGCAACAGCGGATACAATGTTTCCTCCTGTTTCCTTGTTTCTTGCAAGACAGAAACAGAGGGCGATCCAGGGCTCCCCTCCCTCCCTCCCTACCTCCCTAGCAGAAGGTCCTTGGAGCTGATTAATAGGCGCAGCACGCTCTCCCCTATTTGCTCACGAGGAGGCGGCGCCACTTTATTTGCATATTCATGAGCTTATTTATTATTCATGAGCTTTCCCGGGCCCCCCCAATATTTTTTATAAGTCCGCGTCCCTGCAGGTAGTTGGCGTGAAAGACGAGCGAATGGGAGAGGAGATCTGCGCCAGCATCAGAGTGAAAGCTGGAGAAGAGTGCACAGTAGAAGAAGTCAAGGCATTTTGCAAAGGGAAGGTAGGAACTTCGAGGTGGGTGGGTGTGTCCTGCTCCCCCCCTCCCAATAAAAAGAAAGTGCAAGCTCTCCAGTGGTGAGAGTTGAGGTTCTGTCAAGGGCTGCTTCCAGATGGGTGGTTCCTAGCTCAGCCCAATCATTGCTCTTCCGTTGCAAGCTATACATGGAATTGCAATTGATGTCCCACACTATCAGGAGGATTGTGCTTTTCGAGGTGTGCATTCCACTATGTTCTGTATACATCCATGGGGGCATGGCACAGCTGCTCTGGGTAGGGCCATTTGAACCTCAGCACACATCCACTATAAGTGGTGCTAAAAGCATCTACAGTCGTACCTTGGTTCTCGAATGTTTTGGCTCCTGAACGATTGAAACCCAGAAGTGACTGTTCTGGTTTTCAAACGTTCTTTTGGAAGCTGAACGTCTGACGGAGCTTTTGCGGCTTCCGATTGGCTGCAGGAGCTTCCTGCAGCCAATCAGAAGCCGCGCTTTGGTTTTTGAATGCTTTGGAACGACTGTACGCTTGTCACATTTGGGCTGCTCTTCTGTTCTTTGGGAAAAAACAACTGGGCTTTCTGTAGTCTGAGGAAAGACGGAAGGACTGTATGATAGGATGACAGCCTCAGGCGGATGCCTCATAAAAAGTGACTGAATAAGCACGGCAGTTCCGCACTAAATGCCTAGTGTGGAAGTTCCCGCTGTCTTAATATCAGTTGGGGATATGGCTTTAGATAAAAGGCAGTTTTGTATTCCATGTTGGAGAGGCACTTGCTCTGAGTCCTGCTCAAGCGGGGAACAGCAAGCCCGCTGTATAAAGATTGAGTCAGTCCACAGCCATTGGCTTTTCTTTTGCAGATCGCTCACTTCAAGATCCCTCGGTACATAGTGTTTGTGAAGGATTTCCCGCTCACCGTCTCGGGCAAGGTGAGTGACAGTCCAAAGGCTTTTGCTTGCTTAGCCCCAGTAGGTTGCATGGTGCTTTGCGGAGTGCAGGAAGATCCCTGCCTCGAGGAACTTGCAAACTAAACCGGTTACAGCGGAATCACAGGGGAGGGGAAGAGGAGGTGGCGTAAACAGGGAAGGAGTGTTTGCAGTTGCTTGAGTTACATGGGCTTGGGCCTAGTTACAGACTACTGGGTATGGAACTAGTAGATGGGTGGGCCACAAGTGGGTTTTGAAGAGGAATTTGAAGACGTAGGAGTGGTGGCATCTAGGAGGCAGTGACTAGCATATGAAGGGCAGCAGGAAATAGAAGGTGGGATTTTTTGAGGGTGGTTGAGACTTTTAGGTGATGGAGAATGGTGGAGTCCAGGGAGTGAAGATCATAAGGGGAGACATGTCAGGATGATAAGATCAAGAGGGAAAGGACTTGGAGAGATTTGAAGGAAAGGACAAGAATGAATCCAGGAGAAGATGGGAAGTCAGGGTAGGGTTTTAAGGAGTAGCATTGCATCATCAGAGCAATGAGAGACAAGTGAATGACTTTGGCAGCAGAGTTCTGGGTAGAGGTGAGGGGCCCAAAGTGAGGCAACATAGAGAGAGAGAGCACTTTATGGTAGCCTAAATGAGAGATGGCCATAGGCATAGACCAAAATATTTGCAGAGGGACAACCAGTATGTTTGCAATGCTGTAACCAATCCCTTTCTTCTTTCCTTCCTGTTCCAATCTTAGATTCAGAAATACAAACTGAGGGAGCGAATGGAGAAGCATCTTCAGCTTTGAACCCAACAACCCAGCGCAACCCAAAATTAACATTTCTTCTGCCAACTTTTATACTTCAGCTTTCTAAGCCGTTAAGAGAGCTGGCAACCTGCCTTAACATAGCAATCACCAGCCTGCCTTAAGATGCTTTAGTCAGGCCTACTTAAAATAACGTGGGGTTTTTTCTAATAAATAAAAATTCTGTTTCTTTAGCAGAGATGACTTCTTTGTGTTAAGAAATTCCACCTCACTTTGTTAAAAATACAAAACATGTTTATATGTCTGGGAATGGTATCCAGAAATACGATTTCCTCCCAGTAAGGAGGACCGTAAGGGAATTCCCATTGCTCCTTGTGATCAGAGCACATCATGGAAGAGACATAGTCCTACGTTTCCCTCTACTGCATCCTGTGCAGTTCTTTTATTAGAAATTGTCGTTTTGGAGGAATAGTGGTGCATGCAAAGGGATAGAAAAGAACGCCAGGGTGCTGAAAATTAAGTCCCATGTAGGAACATTAAGAGCTATCGTGTTGCAAATTACAAGCCAAAAGAAGGGGAAAGTACTTTTTAGCAGTCGGAAAGGCTTCATGGGAAGAAGAGCATAGTCACCTGAAACATGCTCATATTGGATTTGTAGGAGCAAATCTGTTAATTTTGGCACTTTTGCATTGTGGTTCTCTTTTGGACGCCCTGTTGTTTTATTTTCTGCCGAACACTAATAGGCTACGGTGATTGAACCTCTCATCTTCTCATTAGTCAGGTCATCCACACACACCAAAAGGGTCTGGAGCAACTTGCCTGAGAAGGGTGGTGAACCTGATGTAGCAAGGAGCAGGGGGTGAGATCTGCTTGATCACTTGCCTACCTTTTGGTAACTGAAATGGAGCACCATTCATTGGACTCCCAGGGATTAGCCAGATGTGACACAGTGGATCCATGATCAGGCTCTCTCAGGTTTGTGTTTGTGTTTTCATTTTAGAGTAGATAACAGTGGGGCATCTTTATTGAGAGCTAGATTGGGACTGTAGTTCTGGGAGAGGACCATTCTGTGCCTCCCCCCCCCAATTTAAATTGCTCCTCCCTCACTGTGGTACCTGTATGCTTTCCCCTATAGGGAAATTAGCAGCTAACACACACACACACCCTCTATGATTGCAATTACGTTTTTGTTTTGTAAATGTAATTGCTCCTGATTTCCTATGTCACATCTTACACAGGTACTATTTGTTTATTGCTGTAAGCTGCTGTGAGCTGCATTTTGTTAAAAAGGCGACTGATAAGTTTAATTCATAGTAATCTTCAGTGCTTTTTTTTTTTTAAAAAAAAGGTCCAGTACTCATCATGATGTTGTTACATTAAGTGCCATGCTTTCTAACAAAAAGGTGCCAGTACTGCATACTCTTGAGTATCCCCTGGGGAAAAAGGCATTGCTAATAATAATAATAATAATAATAATAATAATAATAATAATGGCCACATATTTAATTCAAGACAACACCCTTGTGACCAAAAGGGAAGGAAAGAGCAGATTTCTGTGGCTTTAGAGGTATGAATCAACCCAGAGCCTTCTGCCCATGGAGGAAATACCTGGATCAGGAGGCGTCAGAGCATTAGAAAAGGACTTGGGAGCTGAGCTCTTTCATCACTTCCACAGCAACCAACTCCCTGCTATGGACTGGAGGAGGTAGTTCCTCTTTCCAGTTCTTTTGAGTGCAAGCCATGAAGTTGAATCTTCCCACACATTACATTTCTCATCTGCTTTATTTCCGATTCAAAACAGGTATTGATGCCATAGAAATTCAAAACTTCAAATCCCACAAGTTGGAATGCATCTAGGATGTGTTTGCTTTTACGGGAGTGTTATTAGGGCACCTCCCAACCATGGTACTGAACCGCAGAAGTTGGTGTGTAACACTTTTCTTTTCTGACTGCAGCTCCCCACGCCAGCAGAATTTGATCTTGGTTCTGTTTTGTTATAAAGCTACTACTCTTCCTCCTCGCCTTCGATGACCTACCCTGAGCTTTTCCTTCTTTTACTCTGTGGCTGCACGTAACAACGTGATTTCGCTGTGCTTTCTGAATGGTCTTACGTACTGCATTATAACACTGGTGGGTATTGCAGTATGTAGCTGGTTTCCAAACAAATTAAGCGAAGTATGCAGTGAATTCCCTCTCCCCCTTTATCTAGTAGAACAAGACCCCTGGGGGAAGTTCGAGATCAGTCATTAGCAATGAAGATGTGACTCCTTGTCACAGAGCGATTTCAGAAGCAAAATGAAACATGGAAGTTGTTCTTCATCTCTTAAAGAAACAGCCAGGGTTTTCTCAGGAAAAAAGGAAGGTGGTCAGGGTGTGTCTCCTCCGTAACTTTTCTGGCTCTCCCAGCTGAAGCGTGGTTTCTGCCCATGGAAGCAGAACACAAGGGGCCTCCATATGTTGCTTTGTTGCTGAAAGAAAACAGAATCCAGGTCAGGTCAAGAAAGGGTTTCATTATGAGAGCCAGTGTGGTGTAGTGGTTAAGAGCGGTAGACTCGTAATCTGGTGAACCGGGTTTGCTTCCCCGCAGCTGCTGGGTGACCTTGCGCTAGTCACACTTCTCTGAAGTCTCTCAGCCTCACTCACCTCACAGAGTGTTTGTTGTGGGGGAGGAGGGAAAGGAGAATGTTAGCCGCTTTGAGCCTCCTTCGGGTAGTGATAAAGCGGGATATCAAATCCACACTCTTCTCTTCTTCTATGTGAATGTTTGATGTCATAATTAGTTTGAGACTAGGGGATGAGGAGGGAAATAAGATCCCTCCCACAGATGTCAAATGGATGGACAACAACTATCACTTTTAGCACACAAAAGGGTGCTGCTACACTCTCCAGTGACACTCACTGGACCTCAACATTGCCAGCTGTTTCTTTTCTGTTATGTCTCCACTATAGATAAAATGTAAAGGTAAGGTAAAGGACCCCTGGATGGTTAAGTCCAGTCAAAGGCGACTATAGGGTTGCAGTTCTCATCTCACTTTCAGGCCAAGGAAGCCAACATTTGTCCACAGACAGCTTTCCGGGTCATGTGGCCAGCATGACTATACCGCTTCTGGAGCAACGGGACACCGTGACAGAAACCAGAGCGCACGGAAATGCCATTTACCTTCCTGTCGCAGCAGTACCTATTTACCTGGAGTGATTAAGAGCCCAGTTACGGCCCATCAAACGTGCAAGAAACATGTGCTAACTATTTAAAAATTAAAAATACACCATAGATTTTCCCAGCCCACATATGAAATATCCACACATTTCATTGTCCTTTAAGAGCAATATGAAATTATCTCACAAGAAGATTTTAGTTGCCATTTTAAGCTTAGCAGCTGTGTGCCACAGATGCACAAAATATACTTACATGGTGATAGGCCCCTGTACTGGATTCCGCAACACAGGAGAATGCCCAGCTTCTTTGATGGGAAAGGAAGTTAGGAGTTGGGGTGAAACCCTGGAAGAAATCCCAAAAACTCGAATGAAATAAGCGCTGAGTAACGTATGCTGTTTCTCTAGTCTTAATCAGTTTGGGAGGAATTTGGCAATGGGAACAGCTTGAGATGGCTGGAGATGCTGGAGAGGCTGTGAGATAATTATGTCAGACCTCACATTATTAACACTTTCTTTAATAACACTACTTTTTTAAAAAAAGTAGAGGTGGGAAAAGGATGCAGAAAAGTACAACCAAAATTATTAATTAATGGTGGCGGATGGAGCAACTTCCCTTTGAGGAAAGGTTGCAATGTTTGAGGTGTTTTTAGTTTAGGTAAAAGGCAAGTAAGAGCCTCAAAAGCATGGTTACGTCACACTTTGCCTGCAGAGCTGGCAGCCCCTCACCCCTTTTCAAACACCCTCCCTTGTGGAGTGTTCCTTCAGCCTCTTCTCCCCTCTCCTTGGGAGTCCTCCGGGCAGCTGGTCTCTGAGCTGCCCCCACCCCACCTCAAAGAGAGGTGCCTCCCAGAGGCACCATTCACCCCGGGAGCTGGTAGCCAGGGCTGCTGCAACAAACAGCCGTGCAAGCCTTTGGGAGGCAGAGGTGCGAGAGGGCATCAGAGGAGGGAGGGAAGGAAAGAGGGACAGAGGCCAGTGTTGCCCTGCGGCACCCCTGACCATCATTCAAGGCACCCCAGGGCGCCACGACACACTGGTTAAAAATCACTGCAGTAGACCTTGTCTTACATACTTACCTTGCCAAGTAAAAAGTTACTATACGAGACATGTTGTGACCCTGTTATCGGGCCACATTGCCAGAGTGAAACTCTCCTATGATTTCTCAATAATCCCCTTTCCCGCCAATTAGCTCTTTCTATGCACAGCTTCCCCACTTGCCCATACCAGGGTGTTTTTAAAGAACAAAAATTGAATGCATCAGATTGCAACCAGTGAAGTTCCTTTGAGAGTAGACCCAATGAAACAAATAAACCTATGTTGGTCGTGTACAGTGTATGAATTGGCATCAGTGGATCTACTTCGAGTAGGACTAGCATTAGCTACCATCCGCACAGCCTTAATCCCCTGTTGTTGCAATGACCTCTACCCCCTCAGCGTATGCAAAGATACAAACCTTCCACAGCCTCACAGACAGCACGTTCAGTATCAGGAGAGACATCATGAAAAATAGCATGCAGCAGCAGGACTCCACAAGGTTCCCCTCCATCTTGGTTTCCCTGTGTTTGTCTCTTCCTCCCTCCCTCTCTTTATAAAGGTTGCCAGACAAGGGGGAAATCCTCATCGCCAGGCCACGGTGATTTCAATGCGTGTCATCACTCCGTGTTTGGGGAACCCCCTGGGTCTTGTCACCTAAGAACTTCCTTATTATTTCTGCAGCAGAAGCACTTCCTTTTTGATGTGTCTTTTGAATCGGGTGACATTGAGACCACATCCTGAAGGAACGGAAAATTCTCATATAAGGGAACTGGTTTCCTTCCCATTAACTGTCCTAGTGTGTGACACACACACACACACACGCCCCCAGATGTGGTACGAAGGTAGCAGGCCTGTCAGAGTTTCTGGGATTCGCTGAACCCCTGCAGGCTCTGACGGATACAATAATTAGGAAATAAAACTTATTCGCCATAAATCTCTTCCTCTTTTTTAAAAATATTGTCTGCAAAATGCCTCCACGCCACCCATGCAAACACAGCTGCTCCCCCCAAAACAAGCCAGGCTTCTTGGAAGTGTATTGACCATT